CACCATCAACTGTGATTCTCAACGTTTGGGGAATTGATTCTAAAGAGTTTAGTAGGTCTAAAGATAGTGATTGATAGGTTAATTCTCTGTGGAATCGACTCTGGGCACAATACCCAGATTATATTTGCAACGTCCNTGTTGTTGTTCCCATTCCAATTGCCTTGGTTATTACCTTGATTACCCCAATTGTTGTTTTGATTGTTATTGTTCCAATTGTTGCCACCCTGTTGTTGATTATTGTTATTCCAATTGCCGCCTCCTTGTTGATTGCCCCAATTGCCTTGGGGGCGCCATTGTTGATTTCCTTGATTTCCTCTATTTCCTTGGTAGTTATTGACATATTGGCACTCCTCACTTTGATCATCAAAACACTCGTTCGAATAACCACCACCATCATTGTTGTTGTCAAACTGCTCACCGCTACCTTGAGGTTGTTGTTGCCCTCTTTGCCTCCTTTTTAGCATAGAAACATTCTCCATTGCATTGACTTGGCGCGGGTTTTGTACTTGTTGCAATTGCGCCTTCGCCAACTGATTCATTGTTGTTGTAAGTTCGGCAATAGCTTGGCCATGATCACTCAACTCCTTGTGCAAATGGATGACCGTGGGGTCACCTTGGGGTACATTCGCTCGGCTTTGCCATGCTGAAGAGGTGTCCGCCATTTCATCAAGTACGTCACATGCCTCTTGGTAAGAAAGTTTCATAAAGTTCCCACCGGCCAATTGGTTCACAATGCATTGATTTGTGGTGTTGATGCCCCTATAGAAAGTCTGTTGGATCATCGCCTCAGTCATGTCGTTGTTAGGGCATTCCTTCACCATTGTTCTATATCGCTCCCAGATCTCATGCAATGGCTCCGTTGGCATTTGCTTAAAGGCTAGAATCTTGTCCCGAAGAGCCGCCATATGACTTGGAGAAAAGAACTTGGCAATAAATTTGTCCGCCAATTCATCCCATGTGGTGATAGAATGATTTGGTAACCTTTCTAACCAGTCCAACGCTTTGCCCCGAAGAGAAAACGGGAAAAGCCTCAATCTCAACGCATCCTCTGACACGTTTGTTTGTTTGCTGCCCCAGCAAGTATCTACGAACCCCTTCAAGTGCTTGTATGCATTTTGGTCGGAGGCGCCCGTAAAATATCCCCTTTGCTCGAGCAAGGTCAACATGACATTTGTGATTTGAAAGTTCCCCGCCCGAATTCGGGGAGGAACGATGGCACTCGCGTACCCTTGATTAGGAAGAACTCTTGGGACCGCTCTTGGCGGTGGCGGAGGAGGGCCTGGAATAGGATTGTTGTCATGTACATTAGCATTGGCATTTCGACCTCTCCGTGGTACTTGAGGTACCGGAAGCTCATCTTGCTCAACATCTTCAACCTCCTCCCCCGCCATGGCATTGCCAAGAGGGTCATTTCCGTTTAGAGCCATGTGTACCTGATGGATCAACACAAATAAAGTTACTAAAAAGAAGGAAAGAGAAGCAAAACACAAAACTAGCTACACAAATAGTCAACACCGTAAGCTCCTCGGCAACGGCGCCAAAAAGTGATTATCGCGCAGCGGACTCAACCTTAGGAAGAGTGGGCGCTAATACTTTTACCCAATAATGGTATCGGGGTCAATTTCCACAGGGAGTGATAATAGGTGAATTTAACTATAATTAGGCCCTAAAGAACCACCTTCTAGTATAGTTTTGATGACAAAAGTGATAACAAAATGCTCTGATTAGTGCTTTTCATGCTTTGCAGGTGATATATGACAAGAGAAGGCTATGGAGTACTTTTGGGATCAAATATGGAGAAAAAGAGGCCAATCGTAAAATTTTGCCAACTGAACCAAGCGAAGCAGCTCAAGCCAAGCCTGAAGAAGGACTGCCGCGGTTCCACCGCGACCGCGGTAGAAGATGGTCGCGGATAAGTTGAGATTCAGAGAAGGTGTGTGGCCGCGGTTTGACCGTGATCGCGGCAGAACCGCGGCAGAGGCGGAAGAGTTCAGGGACTTAAGTGCAAAACACGAGATTTTTAGCCCAAAAACCTATTTTAAATACTAGACTTCGCCCAAAGGAGGCAAGAATGGTATTGGAGAATACTTTAGCAAGGAAAACAATTGTGAGAGATCACCCAAAACATCTTTCTTCTTTTCTTTGATTTTTCTTGCAAGTTTTATGATAAATATTGTTTTAGTTTGTTTACCCATAGTTATGAGTAGCTAAATCCTTTGTCTAAGGTTTTGATGGAACCTATTGGGGGATGAACTTCTTGTTTATGTGAATACAAATTGCTAGTCCAATCTCTATTTGTTCAACTATGTGTTTGTTGTAGTTAATTGACAGGATCCTCAATTAGCTGTGCCTATTTAGTGTGCATAACTCGGGAGAGAGTGCATATTTAGGTAATTATTGAACAACACCACTCCCAAAGTATATGAGGGATCAATAACCGAGGGTTTAAAGGCGGGATTAGGGATAACGAAGCCTTGGGTGTAATCTAAAGTGAATTGTGTTAAATAAAGCAAGCTAGTGTATCTTGGGAGAGTGCAACTAGTAAATTACTGTGATTACTCGGGAGAGATTTACGGTAAGAAGAGCGTTCATGATTGATAGAGATGTGTTGGTAAATTTGTATGAAGCATAAACAGAAGGAATTCCATCAATAGGGGAAATCATTACCTTAGCACTTTCTCATTATTGTTTACAGCTTAACATCTTTAATTTGTAGCTATTAGTTACTGTTGATCTTAGTTATTAAAAACACCATCAACTGTGATTCTCAACGTTTGGGGAATTGATTCTAAAGAGTTTAGTAGGTCTAAAGATAGTGATTGATAGGTTAATTCTCTGTGGAATCGACTCTGGGCACAATACCCAGATTATATTTGCAACGACCGCATTGTCCCTTTTATAAGGCATAGTTGGGCGTGATCAAAAGTTTCCACAATCTCTTCCACCTCAACCTTCTTCTCAGCTCCTTCCAGCCTAGATAAATGATTAGCTACTTGGTTCTCCGTTCCCTTTTGGTTACGGATTTCCAACTCAAATTCTTGCAGCAGTAGCACCCATCGAATCAGGCGCGGCTTTGACTCCTTCTTCTCGATTAAGTATCTGAGAGCAGCATGGTCAGTATAAACAATTACCTTCGAGCCTATCAAGTATGACTTGAATTTGTCAAATGCGAACACCACTGCTAGCATCTCCTTCTCGGTCACTGTGTAATTTAGTTGGGCACCACTGAGAATTCTACTTGCATAGTTATTGGGTGCATGACTTTGTCTTTTCGCTTCCCAAGAACTGCTCCAACAACATAGTCACTCGCATCACACATCAGCTCAAATGGTTGCTCCCAATCAGGGGCAACTATGATAGGTGCTTTTACGAGTCTCTTCTTCAATTCCTCAAACGCTACCCTACATTCATTTGAAAAAAACAAAAGGGTGATCTTTTTCAAGCAATTTACACAAGAGGTTAGCAATTTTGGAAAAATCTTTTATAAGTCTCCTATAGAAACCGGCGTGTCCAAGGAAACTTCTGATTACTTTGACAGAAGTGGGTGGTGGAAGCTTTTCGATCACATCAACCTTTGCACGATCTACTTCAATGCCTTTACTTGACACTAGGTTCCCCAAGACTATACCTTCTTGTACCATGAAATGGTACTTTTCCCAGTTGAGTACCAGATTAGTCTCGATACACCTCCTCAATACTCTTCTCAAGTTCATAAGGCAATCATCGAATGAGTTCCCCGCCACTGAGAAGTCATCCGTGAAAACCTCCATTATTTCCTCTGCCATATTTGTGAAGATGTCCATCATGCACCTTTTGAGTGTTGCAGGTGCATTGCATAGACCAAACGGTATTCTCCGAAAGGCATAGATTCCGTAAAGGCAGGTGAACGATGTCTTCTCTCTGTCCTCCGGGGCAATAGAGATCTGATTATACCCCGAGTACCCATCCAGAAAGCAGAAGTGAGGCCTCCCTGTCAATCTATCTAGCATCTAATCAATGAATGGCAGTGGGAAATGGTCTTTTCCGCTAGCCAAGTTCAACTTTCTGTAATCCATACAGATTCGCCAACCTGTGACTGTTCGTGTTGAGATCAATTCGTTCTTCTCATTTTTCACTATCGTCATACCGCCCTTTTCTGGCATACACTGAACTAGGCTGACCCAGTTGCTGTCAGAGAAGGGAAATATGATTCCCGTATCTAACCACTTAATCACTTCTTTCTTTACCACTTCTTTTATGTTGGGGTCCAGCCTTCTTTGATGTTCTCTGGAAGGTTTGTGCGCATCTTCCAGTAGAATCTGATACATACAAAATGCCGGGCTGATACCTTTTATATCTGCAATGGTCTAACCAATTGCAGTCTTGCATTCCATTAGTCCCTGCAAAAGCTGTTCTTCCTGCACATCTAACAAACTAGATGAGATAATAACAGGTAAAGTTGAGTTAGGTCCCAAGAAAGCATACCTAAGATGAGGTGGTAGTGGCTTCAGTTCCAACTTTGGCGGCTCTTCTATCGATGGCTTAGCTGGAGGAGTTTTCCTTTCCTATAAGTGCAAAGGCTCAAATTCGAGCTCCCTTATCCAAAAACCTTGGCATTCAAGAGCAAGTACCCACTCCGCCAAGTCCTCTCCATTTGCTTCATCTAAGTTCATGAGACAGGCTACTAGAGGGCCTTTAGTGTTCAATGTCTCATCTTCCTCCTCCAAAATTACATCCACGGCATCTATTAGAGAGCAGTTAGCAAATTCACTTGGTCGCCGCATAGATTTCTGCACGTTGAATGTTATCTCTTCATCATTTAATATCATTTTGAGCTCTCCAGTTCCACAGTCAATTAACGCTCTTCCAGTGGCCAAGAATGGTCTTCCCAAAATTATAGGAATTTCCTCGTCAACCCGACAGTCAAGAATGACAAAATCTGCTGGGAACACAAACTTTCCAACCTGTACTAATGCATTATCAAGAATACCAGAGGGCTTCTTCACTGTCCGGTCAGCCAGCTATAGTAACATGGACGTGGGTCTAGCTATTCCAATGCCTAACCTTTTGAAGATAGCCAGGGGCATCAGGTTTATGCTTACGCCCAAATCACATAGTGTCTTAGCAAACGCATAGTTGCCTATTGTGCATGGGATTGTGGAACTCCCTGGGTCAGACAGCTTCTCAGCTATGGGTCTCATCACAACAACACTACATGTCTGAGTCAGTGTAACTGTGGCCAAGTCTTGAAAGTCGAACTTATGAGACATCAAGTCCTTTATCATTTTTGCATAATCAGGCATTTCCTTTAAGGCGTCAATCAATGGAATGTTGACCTGAATTTGCTTTAATATCTCCAAGAATTTCTTGTACTGCTCTTCTTTCTGATACTTGGCCAATCTCTGTGGAAATGGTGTTGTAGGTCGCTTCTTCCCTGTGATTTGATTTTTTCTTGCTCAGGCACTGCTTCTACTGTCGTTTCCTGTGCTACCCCAGTCTCCCTTGCAACCTCTTTTTCTTTACTGGTGTTCTCTTGTGCATTTTGTACCATCGCCTCAGTTAACCCTGTTGAATCATCTATCTCAATGGGTACTGGCACCAATGTTTCAGTAGGTCGGCTTTCACGAGCAATTTCTTGCTCCAGATCTAGGTCTCTACCATTTTGTAGACTCACTGCCATAAGTTGTTTCGGGCCCTGCTCTTTTGGATTGATTTGTATGTCTCCAGGTAACGTCCCTTGGGGACGATTATTTAAAGCCATCGAAATTTGTCCTAATTGAATCTCCATACTCTTTATCGCTGATTCATGTGAGTCTGCTCTTTCAGTTATTTTTCTAATAGACCCAATCAATTGTTACATCATTCCCTTAAATTCAGTAAACCCATCATTGTGTCTCATAATCTGTTGTTGTTGAGATTGTTGATAAGCCTGTTGATGATTTTGCTGGTTGTAACCCTGTTGCCTTTGGTAGGGCATCACTTGAACCTATGGTCGCATAGCTCCAAGATTGTTGTTGTTATTGCACTACTGCTGTGTTGGTTTGTATTGTTGATGTTGCTGACCCTAATTATGACCACCTTGCCTCTGTCATAGTTAGCCACATAGTTCGCACTCCACGAGAAAATATATGGTTGGTTAATGCATGGTGTACATAAACCCCCCCCCCATTAGTTGCATCAACTATGTGTACCTGCTGCTTCTGGCCTGATTCATCTATCGTTTTAGTGAGGATACTCATTTGTGTCACTAGGGTGGCCATATATTTAGATGTGGAGTTCTTTGGGTCTAAAGCCAATGAATGACCTACATGAGTGATTGGAGAGTCTCTTGTCATCCATCATGAGTTTTGGGCCATCTTGTCAAGTATGATCTTGCTTTCTCTAAATGTTTTGCTAAAAAATGCTCCACCTACTGAAGCATCAACATTGGCCTTTAAGTTGTCTGCCAATCCCATGTAAAACCTTTGCCCCAACATCTGCTCCGGAATGACATGATGTGGGCACCTATCCAACATACCCTTGAACCTCTCTCACGTTTCTTGTAATGTTTCTGTTGGTTTCTGCCTGAAACTCAATATCTCATCAATTTGTTAAGCAGTCTTATTGGGTGGGTAGAACCTGTTCACAAATTGCTTGACTAATTCATCCCAAGTTGTAACGACCCGACTGGTCGTTTTGAGCCCTTTTGCGCTTAGTCTGCCAGTTCTCGGGCATGACTTGCCCCGTACGATGTATTATGACTGATGTAGATCGTTGGTTTTGGTTTTCACGGAAATCGGTATGAATTTGAAAGAACAGTCTCAGTTGAAAGCTTTGAATTTGAAAGGTTTGACCAAGAGTTGACTTATTTGTATATGAGCTCGGATCGGAATTTTTATGATTTGGTTAGCTTTGTTGGGTGACTTATGACTTAGGAGCGTGATTGGAATTGGTTTTGGAGGTCCGGTGTAGAATTAGGCTTGAATTGGCAAAGTTAGTATTTTGGCGATTTCCGGTTGATAGGTGAGATTTTGATCCGAGGGTCGGAATGGAACTCCGAGAGTTGTTGTAGCTTCGTTATGTGATTTGGGATGTGTGTGTAAAATTTCAGGTCATTAGGAGGTGATTTGGTTGGGTTTTTTATCAAATGCGTGTTTCGGGAGTTTTAGAAGAACTTAGGCTTGAATTCGATGTAATTTGATGGTTTTGGTGTTGTTTGAGGTGTTTTGATAATTGGAACAAGTTTGAATGACGTTTTAGGATATTTTGGTACTTTTGGTTGAGGTCCCGGGGGCCTCGGGGTGATTTCGGATGGCTAACGGGAAGATTTTGAACTTGGGAAATTTCAGAGTTTTTGCTGTTGCTGGTATTTTCGCACCTGCGGCTTGGGGACCGCAGGTGCGGTGTCGCACATGCGGAGGAATAACCGCAAATGTGGTTTTGGAGGAGGAAGGCTGGAACCGCAGATGCGGTGGGTGGCCGCACCTGCGGCTGGTGGACCGCAGATGCGGTTTGGGCCAAGTGATGATTTTCCGCAGACGCGGTCGAGGTGGCCGCATCTGTGATGCCGCAGATGCGAAAGTGGTGTCGCAGAAGCGACTTCTGGGATTTTTAATGGATTTCCGCAAAAGTGGACTTTTAACTGCAAATGCGGTACCGCAGAAGCGGTGGAGGGGTCGCAGATGCGAAAACCCTTAAGCAGAAGGTATATAATTCATCCTTCGCGATTTTTGAAGGGTTTTATCATTTCTAACTTCGGATTGAGGGCTTTTGGGCGATTTTGAAGAGGGATTTCAAGAGAACTTCGATAAGGTAAGGATTTGTGACTCAAAACACAATCCTATGGTGTTATTTCATGAATTTAGACTGAAAATTTAAGAAATCATGGACTAAAAATGGTGGTTTAGGGCTTGAACTTAAGAGAGCAAAAATTAAGGATTTGAAGGGTCAATTGGACTCTGATTCTTGTGTTTTTGATATGTGTGAACTCGTGGGGAGATAAGGAGTCTAATGATGTAAAAATTTCTGAGTTTCGTGAAGTGGCCCGGGCTCGGGTTTTGCTAATTTCGGGATTTTTGATATTTTTCCATTGTTTTCGCTTGGGCTTGGTTCCCTTAGCATATTGTGATGTATTCGGTCTGATTTTGGATAGATCCGACGCGCGTGGAGGCCGATTCGAGGGGCAAAGGCGTCGCGAGCTAGAGATTTCGCCGGTTCGAGGTGAGTAATGATTGTAAATGATATCCTGAATGTTTGAAACCCCGGATTGCACATCGTAGTGCTATACTGAGGTGACTTGCATGCCGGATAGCGAGAGTGGGGTAGAGCACCGTTGGGGATTGTGACTTGGTCCATCCCGATTAATGATTTTACTGTGTAATTGACTGAAACTTATTTGTTATCATCATGACTTGGGCTGATTGCCATATTTGGGCTTCGTGCCAGCTATTTGAACCCCTTCGGGGATGGTCGTTGATATTTCCTCACTGTTTTGATTTTTATACTTGAACTCAGTCATGTATTTTTTTTTTCACTGTTTTCAAAACTCAGCCAAGTTTACTTGCTTTAACACTTGAAATGATATTTCCAATAATATTTTGGGCTGAGCATCATGTTTATTGTTGCCCGAGTGGCTTATGTGATTTTGTTGACTGAGTTAGGCCGAGGACCTGTATTGTGAGGATACTTTTGGATCGGACTGCACGCCGCAGCAATATATATATATACGGATCGGGCTGCACGCCGCAGCAGTGTTATACTGATACTGGTATGAGGCCAAGGGCCTAGATTTGATGCCACGAGATGGCTTGATATTGCGCTTGGGCCGTAAAGGGCCCCTCCCGGAGTCTGCACACCCCGAGTGAGCGCCGTCGACGATATGTGGATCGGACTGCACGCCGCAGTAGTACTAGTATTGTTCTATGTGTTTACTTTATTTCATTTGTCTGCCATTATCTGTTGTCTATATTACTTCACGGGGTATCTACCTGGTTGCCTGGCATTTTCTGTAGAGTGAGTGTTGTGCCCGAGGGGCGGACTTCTGTGCTTATCTGCACTAATTGTTTTGCATTTATTCGCATAACCATTGAAAAAGTCATTTTCAAAAGAGGTTTGAACTGAGCTAAGATGTTTTCTAAAGATTTCACAGCTTCACTGCTTTTTCTCAAGGGGTTTTATACTGCTTCTATACAGCATGATGATTTGCCTTACGTGATTTCTTACTGCTCAGTTATTATTTACCTTTATTACTCACTGAGTTGGAGTACTCACTTTACTCCCTGTACCTCGTGTGCAGATGCAGGTATTTATCCACCCGTTAGCGGGATTTGGCTGATCAGAGGCAGAGTTATAGGAGTTAGCGAGGTGACTGTCAGCGTCCGCAAAACCGTTTTCCTCTCTTTGTTCATTATTCCCATTTTGTATATTTTAGACCTTGCAGTTGGACTTACACTCTAATAGACGCTCGTGACTTGTGACATCCCGATTAGGGCTGTATTGGGTTGTATTTCCGCTAGTTAATATCATGGAATCATATTTAAACTATTTATGAACTGTTTAACTGCTTAAAAGAGGTGATCTGGAATGGTCTGGCTGGCCTTGTCTTCACGAGAGGCGCCATCACGATCGGGGCGGAGTTTGGGGTCGTGACACAAGTAGTGATGGAGTTTATGGGGAGTGAAATAAGCCAAGTCTGAGTCTCTCCCGTCACCGAGAATGGAGACAACAACAGCCTTATTGCTTCCGGTGTCACATTAGGTTGCCTTTCAGTGACACATATCGATAGGAAATTCTTCAGATGCTACTGATGATCTTCGACGTATGACCCTGAGAACAGTCCCTTGTTCTACAACAAATGCAACATGTTGTTTGTGATTTGAAATGATTCTGCTTGTATCTGAGGGACTGCAATTGCGGTTGCTAGGTTGTCGGCGGTGGGTTGTGCCCAATCGTACAATGTTGCTTCTGGCACAAGAGGCACCACACCCTGATTGTTCGGGTCATTCCCATTGTTTCTGTTATTTACTTCGTCTCCCATGTCTGGTTCGATTTGTTTTGTTGAGTCCTGTTGTTGTTTGCCCTTCTTGTTTGCACGATTCAATGCCTTGAAAACTTTTTCAGGATCTGATAATGCTTCGAACAATTCACCATTCCTTGAGGAGTTTCTAGGCATGCACCTGTAAACACCCAAGACTACAAACGTTAGAATTTCAATGTATTTAGTTTGAATTAGAGAAAATTGACTACACTAAGAATTTTAGCACTTCTTTTAGCTGCAATTAATAATAATTCCCCGGCAATGGCGCCAAAATTTGATCACGCACAACTATGCCCTATAAAAGGACAAAGCGGTCGCTGTGAATATATTCCGGTTAACAAGTCCGGAGTCGAATCCCACAGGGAATTAACCTATTAAACACATCTATTGGACTCACAAAAATTCACATATTCAATCTTCAGAAACATTTAAGTAATAAATTGGATGTTTACTAACTAAATACTATGTAATGAAAATGCAATAACTAATAACTAACTACGAACGGTTTGTAGACAAGAATTGGAATGATCTAGGATTATGATTTCCCCTATTATCGGAATCATTTGCGCTACGCTTTCTATAAATTTGCCTAAGTCTTCTCTACCTATCATGAGCACTCTGGTTGTCATAACTCTCTCCCGAGTAATTACAATAATATACTAGACATATTCCCTCGAATTACGCTAGTTGGCCTTAAGTACAGCTCACTCAGATCGCACTAAGGTTTCGTTATCCCTAATCCCACC